TAAACACTTTAGAAACACTGCTTTAGAGAATAGGTTGGGAGGTCAAGTACTCTTCTTTGGGGCAGCCACTCAGATACTGGAACACTGCTATTGTGTCAGCCCTACTCCTTTTTATTAAACTAGGCATACCCAATTCCTGCAATGGTTCTTCGTATGTTTTAACCTCCGGTCTCCTAATCATCTTCGTTGCTGTTCTCTGCACTCTTTCTAAAGTGTTTACAGCAACCCATATCAACAGATAATTTTCTAAATGATTAGAAAGTTTTTCCATCAAAGGAAACAAAGAATAAGGTACTCTATTGTTATACCACTGAATGCCTATCCCCTCTTGGGGAGGTAGAGGTTCAATGATTCCTGTGCCTTATTGTTTTCTCCAGTAGTTTTGAGTAGGTAGTGCTTCATGACAGTTTATATTTCTATTAAAGATTTTGCCAGACACCTCGCTTACATTGAGAAATGAATCTTTCAAATAGATTTTCCTTCCATGTGCTGAAGTGAAAAATCACTGCAGCAAAGCTGCTCATATAAGAATAGTACGATGGGTCAATTGAGAATATATTTGCACATTTTGGCCATGTGCCTGGAGATAGATCCAAAAAGAGACATATTGATCTTTATTTAGCACGGTAAGGTGTGATGCTGCAATTCAGTTTATTTATTATGATTTATTAAGAATATTTATATGGCCTCTCAGCTTATACCGTGCCTTAGGTAATCAGGGAGTGATCATCTTTAACAGCCTCACAGCCACAAGTGGGATTGTCGATACCTAATGTTTTGCTTTTGAACAATATCCTTGAGAGACAATGTTTCTCAACCTCAGCAACTTGAAGATGTGAAGACTTCAACTCCCAGAATTCACCAGCCAGCACCCAACTACTTTAGGTTAGATGGCAATTCCCGCCGATTGCGCTTTACCTGTTCACACATGGCAATCACCTCAATTTGATATGTTAAGTATGGTAGGAAAACAGAATCTATTAAGGAGCTATTTCATAAACCCCTCCACTTATGCGGTTACTGTGTTGCCACCCACGGCTAGGGATGTGGAAGAGACTTCAATGAACTGTTCAGGTGGAAGGGCGTATGATTCTTTATGGAGAAGGATATGTACAGAAAAAAACAGAATAACAGAGTTGGAAGGGACTTTGGAGGTCTAGGGCCAACCCCCGGCTTAGGCAGGAAACTCTATACCACTTCTGACAAATGGCTATCCAATCTCTTCTTAAAAACTTCCATTTCAGTTAAATTTTAAGCTGTGCTTTTTCCTACCAGTTTTAAAGGATTAATTCACCTTGTTTCTGTTTCAATTTTCCAGGCAGCCATTCGTAAAGAGCTAAATGAATACAAAAGTAATGAAATGGAGGTGCATGCATCGAGCAAGCATTTGACAAGGTCAGTTGCCCATTCATTAAATATCAATCTCCATCTCCATCTCTCTCCCTCTCCCTCCCTCTCTCTCTCTCATATCTATCTATCTATCTATCTATCTATCTATCTATCTATCTATCTATCTATC